CACACCCACACACACACACACACACCCACACACACACACACACACACACAATGACTTTCAGACCTCCTTCCAGCAGCCACAGAGCTATATATGCCAGTGCCTAGGCCTCCAACTTCAGGGCTCAAAGCCAAGGGAGAGGCAGGAGGGCAGGGGGGAATCTAACCTAGAGGACAAGTTTCTCCTATCCCCATTTCTTGCCAGGGCCAAGGGCTTCAAGCAGGCTGTGCTCTTCCAGTCTTCCAGGGCCCAGGGTGAGGGCTGAAAAGGCTGGCACCCAGGGCATCCGGCTTTACTCCAGTCTCTCACCCCAGATCTGAGAACACTAACCACCCTCTCACTTGCCAGTGCTTCCTGGATGTGCACTGTAGCGGGGGTTGCCGCTATCTCCACATCTCTCCCAGCCTTAATAAGGGGACTGTGTAATCAGCTCCGGTGACAAGTAGGAAAGGAGGAGGAGAAACCAGGGCAGCAAGCTCCCCACCACACCTCCCCACCTCAGGAACCTGGGTGCTGCCGCCCAGGGCTGGCCTTCCAGGGTGTCACACTCACTGCACCTAGGCACAGGCAGGCAACCAGGCCAAGGTCATCGCCAACTGTCCCAAATTCCTAGTTTGTCACCCATTTATCTAGTCCCCGCAGCAGAGCCCCCACCGCCTTGCGCCCTGCAACCACAGCACACGAATTTCAAGTAATAGCAAGTTGTAGCAGTAGCTGTCACTAACTCACAGTGGTTCATGCCTGTCCTGAGGAAGGTTACAGTAGACCAGTCATAAACAAGCGAGGGTTACACAGGCAGGGCCTGAGGGTATTGACATCACCCATCCACAACTTCGAAACCAATGACGGGTCCCTAGAAGTGAGAACCTTTTCCAGTTTGTGACTTGAAAATACAATGACCAAAAAGCAGTGAGTTCCCTCTGTAGACTGCATTTCAATTAGCACTACACTGATTCGGCAGGGGGGCAGGGGCCACAGGCAGGAGAGGTGAAGGGGAGCTGCTGATGAAGGCTAGATGCCCCTGTCCCTCCCTGTTTACTCTGACCAGGCTGGTGCCCTTCCTCCTCACCTCCTGAAGCCTGTTTCCTCCTGCACAACTGTGTCTTATAGCCCACTCTACTGAGGAAGGACCAGGCTACGGCCTGGGCTGTGACTAATGCACAGACAGATCACGGACACAGTAAACACTACCCTTCCCGGGAGGAGAAAGGATGGTGGTGAGGGTGGGTCACGCCTCCTCAGCTGGTTTGGTTTTGTACCTGAGAGTATGGATTCTCCACTGGAAACCCCTGGTACCACAAGGGGTCCAGGGGCTCGGCCTTCCTCACCCAGGCTGTGCTGAGAGCAGTGAGGTCCCTGACCACAGGCAGGAACCTGGCTGACTTCTGGCCTTGGGCTCCACCTCGCCATCATAACCCCTCAGCACTCAGACCTGCCTGATGACTAGGAAGTTTTGGTCTAGACCACAGCATAGAAAAAGGATTCTTTGATGCCACTGCTCTAACTTGGGACTGTGCACTGTTCAGTACACACCCTGCAGATTTCTGCTTCTGTGCTCCTGTCCTTGTGTTTCTCATCTCACTGCCTTGCCCTCACCTAAAAACCAAAGTCTCACAGCACCAGAGCTTTCCTAGACCATCTGATCTACACTGATCTTACCCACTCTGAATTTCTTTAAAGACAGCCCTTGATTCTCTCTGCCATGCTGAGTCATTCTCCAAATGCTTCATGTGTGGCAGCCACCTAAAAGCTCCCTTAGGCCAGAGAATATGTCTTCCGCCTCCTGTGTTTTCCACAGTAGCTAGCCCAGAATCAGGCAAATGAACACTAAAAAGTAGTTAAAAAAAAAAAAAGAGATCCCACGTAGCCGCACAACAGCCACTCGAGGATCTCAATGGATTCCAGACAGCAGGCTTTACAGTTGGGTGGCACTTTCTGCAAGATGGCAAGTTAATTTGTACCTTCAAGAGGCAAGACCCATAGGTTAAGCCAATTCCCGGGATCACAACCTTAACTGGTTGGTAATGCAACCATGGCAGCCAGAGAGAGAAGAGGTACTACACGACAAATCAAAGGTGGGTGGGCTGTGTTTATGCTACAAAGCTCATTTTGCGGGCCACCTCTTCACAGCCAGGTAACAATGCATGTTTCCTCCCTATTCAGCTATAAGGAGGAAGAATGGTCACTCCATGCAGGACGTAAGGCAGAAGGCCAATGCTCCCAGATGAGGCAATCCTATAAATTACAAGACACTGGGGCCTCATCCCAAATGATCAGGAAACCACAAACCTGACAATATTATTTATCTCATGCGATAGAGGCAGATATAAGCATACGGGAACCAAAAGACGAAGTCTGTTGGAATACTTACTGCAAAAGAGTAATAAAGATCAAACAGCTCAATTTTCACATCTTAATAGCAAACCTCTCCTCAGAGTAACTCTATAGAAAAGCAAACTCATAATGTTATATGGTTTGACAATGGCCAGGTTCAGAAAAGCACTGGAGTTTTTCTCCCTCTTCCTCCACTTCCACCTGGAAAACAGGCAACTCTCAAATCAGTATCTGACAGACTTCCCAGTGAAAGGAGGGCAAACAGGATCTAACTCAGGAAAATGTTTGGGTCACCAGAAAGGACTCCGGAAAATAAAGAAGCCCTTGCTACCTCCTGCTCCAGCAAACCTAAGAACGTGAGCCGTAATGCTCTCCTCCCTCCTCACTGATCTCAGATGTGCCATTAAGGCTGAGACACTAGGGAGCTTTCTCTAGGAAGAGCACAAGAGCCTTGTTTCTCACCTTCCTCCACATTCCCTCTCACTAGCTGACAGGCATGTGGAGGTAAGGAACACTGACTAAGTCATGGGTATGGCTTGCCATTAAGAATCTGGAAGCACGCTCCGTTAACTTCAGCGGCCCGGGGTTGGAGCTCTGAACCGTTCCGGTGATGAGAAAAACTATTGCCTCGACAGCCGGCGGAAGCAATAGGAATGATGTTACCATGACCAGAGTGAAAGGTACAGTTATCTCGAGGGAATGGGTTGAGGGCAGAGGAAGAACAGGGCTAACGTGAGGTCACAGAACTTAGGAATTCAGTAAAACAAAACAAACACAGCTGCTATGAGAGGTGATTCTGAAGTCAGGCTCCTCAACCTTAAAAGCAAAGTATGCGAGGAGTCACTACTTCCCCCGGCAGAGCTACGCGCCAGTTCTGTCCAGTCATCGTCTATTCAAGACTAACCACCCTCCTCTCTTCCCTGCTCCTG